CAAAGGAGTTGTTATTGCAATATCCGGGCAGTCACGACAATATATACATATTTTAACATGTAATAAATAATGAGCAATCTTTAATAATAATTGTAACAATTTTACGTTAGAAAAATATACGCCCCTGAGCATAAGACAATGAAGGCTAAACATATACAGAATTATTATCATGAAACGTCTATAACCATCACAATCATAAGATTACATAGAACAATTAACAACAAAGTACTTAGAGAATAATTACCTGCTAACTTATACCGGTTAAACACTTTTAATTTTTCACTACTTATATATTTTCACCGTGCACCGATCATCTTACTTTTCACTCTGAGCTATCCTCACTTCCACTATTTAGGCTTCCTTTCAGAATTCCCCACCTAAGCGTTTGTTTTTGCGCTACCTTCTACCAACTGTCAATATTACGTTTTCATTATTGTACAACACCCACGTAACAGGTGACGAAGTTGATACGATAAGTATGGTTTTGCACAATATTTAATTAATGACAATTTAAATATTTAATAAGGACAATATTAGAGCAGTTTTAAAAATATGGTATTTTTAATAATTAGTAGTCATCACGATTTACTTTTATAATAAAATTTGGTTTAATTGTACATTATTCGTAAAAAATTGAAATACAAACATATTTTTTAATTCGAAAAAAAATGGAATAAAAAGATAACACTCTAGAAACTGTCATAAATTTGCATATTGAAAAAAAAATTTTCGAAAAAAAACTTTTTTTCAAAATGCACTTTTTTGGTTTAAAAATTAAAAAAAGACTGGAAAAACTAAAAACGTATGATTTTAAAAATATTTTTTTATAAAACTACATCTCAAAACGAAAAAAAAAGTATATCTTTAATTTTTGCCAAGTTACAGGTATTTGAAGGGTTGAATTTGAAAAAATTCATGAAAGTTACACTGAATGGGTAGGTATCATATAAAAAAAATCAAGAAAATTGAAAATGGTTAGGTACCTAACGACCTAGTGATTTGACATAGAATGTCCCATAATTACGTTCGCTTCACAATTCGTACTTACATTTAATGGGCAGAAACAGACTCTGCTTGCGTACTCGGATAAACTTTTTAAACTTGCAACGACGATCCATTTTTCTAATAGAAGTCAGTGGTAAGAAGTCACCAAAGTAAAAGTTATAAATGCAAGCTTGTGCTTGCTTCAGGATATTGTTCTGTTCCTTTCACATCATATTTATTTCAAAACGACTAGTTTAAGCACTTANGTTATACAATAATTTAATAAAGAATAAGGTTTATAGTCACTATACAACTGTGCTAGCAATACGCGTTTTATAAACAATATTCACCTGTTTAACTGTCACATATAGTATACAATGGTCTTATAATGGTATATAGAATTCTAATAAAGAATAAAACGCATTTCTTTCAGTGTAGAAACTGTCTCATAAATTTGCATATTGAAAAACGATTTTTCAAAAAAAAACTACTCTTTTTCAAAATGCACTTTTTTGGTTTAAAAATTAAAAAAAACTGAAGAAACTAAAAATGTATGATTTTTTATAAAACTACATCTCAAAACTAAAAAAAAAAATATAATATCTTTAGTTTTTGCCAAGTTACAGGTATTTGAAGGGTTGAATTTGAAAAAATTCATGAAAGTTATCATATAAAAAAAAATCAAGAAAATTGAAAATGGTTAGGTCATGACCTAGTGATAATAGACATAGAATGTTCCATAATTACGTTCTCTTCACAATTTGTACTTACATTTAATGGGCAGAAACAGATTCTGGTTGCGTACTCGGATGAACTTTTTAAACTTGCAACGACGATCCATTTTTCTAATAGAAGTCAGTGGTAAGAAGTCACCAAAGTAAAAGTTATAAATGCAAGCTTGTGCTTGCTTCAGGATATTATTCTGTTCCTTTCACATCATATTTATTTCAAAACGACTAGTTTAAGCACTTAAAGTGGTATATTTGTTTAAATACGTAATTTTCTAGATTCCTTTCGTGTGTATTTCGAATAAGATTATAACTGTAGCGGTTAAAACCTGTCTTTTTTCCAGCCAGACGTCTGAATAGATACTCATTAGTGGTTGCATAAAATGTTTTGACTTCCAGAACATGGCGCATTTATTATGGAGCAAAAGCCTTAAAAATTCTCCCGCTATATACGTTTATATTGTCTTTACAATGACATTTAACATCATAACTCTATCAGAGTCTTGATGTTAAAGTAATGAGAGATAAAACAAAGGAATTTTATATCCATGCTTGTCCGTAGTACGAGGCCCTTGAGCCCGTATAGCTCGGTTAACAACTCCCTTTTCTTTATTTCTTGCAGTGGAGTAGTTACAAAATTTTACTCATGGCAATATTAAAATTATGTTTTGAAGTTACATAAAGTTTTTTTACATATAAAAACTGTACATCACTAATAGAATCTCTCTTTGTATACGCATCGTATAAAGGCGTCGATAACATAGAAGCAACCAAAATGTAGAGGTTCACCATTTTGCTCCCCATTGCTATCACCGTAATCGTGGAATACCCGGACCACTTCCACTCGACGCAGAAAGGTCAAACCTACACACTCCGATCGAACTACTCCTGCGCCCCGCAATCAAGACCCAACGTTTGTTACATTTTAAAAGTTTATCTCTATACACTGTTAGGCTCTAAATATTAACATTACTAATTCCTTAATCAATTCCAATGTTAACATTTTTTTTCAACTTTAATACCATCCTGTATTTGAAAAAACGGTTTTTTACTTACTTTATGGATTTCTGAATTTAATTAGTGATTAAAATTCGGGACGAGGATGTTCATCTAAATGACAGATAAGAACGTCTTATGGATTTATTTAGGTCGAATGTCAGTTTGGATAATCAAAGAAAATATTTTATGGATGTTTAATTTATGGATATCCATTTGCATTATAAAGACACAGATCTTATAGATGTCCTCAATAAGAATATTCATTTAAGAAAGGAAAACAATACCTTATGTATTTAAGGCGAATATCTATGTATAGTGATCCATTTGTTTGAAGCTTTATTTATTGTGCGATTTTAACCGAATTTTTTAAGATGTAGAGCTTGATGAAGTGTGCTTTGTGAAGGAAAATGCGCGTGATCCCACAAAATTCGAGACGTACTACGTCCGTTTCTAAGGGTAAAATTCTAATATTTCATATTAGGAATTTTTTGAGAAAAAATATATTTACGCCACAGGATTTACGCCCCCCCAAAATTTTTTTAATAATAACGGTTTTCAGTCAAATAAAAAATTTACAAGTCTACTTTTTTTCGTTAATTTATTGTTAATATCAAGTTGTCCATGAAGTAAAATAAAACAAAAAAAAATTAAATTAATTAAATTCTAGTAATGTATACCACATATTATAATAATTATTAAAAATCTTAGTTTGCACAAATTTTAAAATAAAATAATTAAACTGAAACCAACAAAAGATAATAATTATATTCTTGTCACTTCTATGAATCCACCATTTACTTCTATGTACTTCTCAATTCTTTTACGTACGTTTGTAATTAATTTTTGTATTTGTTTGGGGTAATTTCTGCATAGGCTTGCATTGTCCTAGCACGTAGTTCGTGTACAATTTGTAGCCATGATTTATATATTTTTTGTTTCAAGAAAATCCAAAGAAAAAAATCTATTGGCGTCAAGTCCGAAGATCGCCACTCAATAAGGACTATTCCATCTTATCCAACAATTCTCGAAATGTTCGTTTAACCATTCTCTCACCGCAGCAGCGTTATGAATAGGGCCACCATCTAATTGAAACTTAAAATTAAGAATATTTCTTAAAGGAAAATCATCTGATGCGTTCCGAAATTCATTGTTAAGAAAATTTAAAAATCTATTAGCATTCAAATTGAAGTTTATAATGAATTCTGGACTCTCAACTGACCAATGACGACAATTTTGGAACGAAACTACCCCATTTGTAGTAAATGTGGCTTCATCAATCAATACAATTTAGTGTTATTTAAATATTCTCCCTGTAGCCAATAACAAAACTCCAAACGTCTTCCTTCATCTTCCAACTCCAAAGTATGGACAAATTTTGGTTTAAAAGCTTTTATTTTATTTTTTGACTTTAAAATATTGTAAAATTTGGTTATTATTTCTCAAAATTCTACGACGTCCACTATGTCTAGTTTTAAGAAAATTTTTTGAAACCCAGTCTGCTTCATTGAAAACTTTATTAATATACTTACTGTACACTACTTCAACTTACTAGCCTGTCTGGATGCCTAGTATTAAATTCTATTGCAGCATTTCTTACCGAACTCACATTATCGCCAACAAGTCGTACAATTTCTATTTTGTCCCTTAATGGTATATTTTTCATGATTATTAACACGAGATAAACTTTATTCCACACTAATTTGTCACTTTTGACAATTAGCTAACTACCTAATTTTTTGTTTTTTGTTTTGCTTCTTGGATAACTTGATATCAACAATAAATTAATGAAAAAAAAGTAAAGACTTGTGAATTTTTGATTTGGCTACAAAATCGTTATTATTTAAAAAGTTTTGATAAAATTTGGAATTGGACGTTTTGGGGGGGGGTCCTGAATGCCAGTCAGTGGCGTAAATAAATTTATCCAAAAACTCAATAACTACATTGATGAAGAAAAATTATTAAAAATAGCTGTGCAGCGAAATTGGATGTCGACCAAATCAAGTTCTGTTTATTAATACATTATATTATCAAAATTCAAATTTCATTTCGTTTTTAAAACTCGATGGGTGAAGGTCGATTTAACTCGGGATCTTGTACTATATGCAATCTTACTCTACTGACCCGAAAAATAGCAATATAAACAGCAAATTAACATATTAATATATGTTAATTTACTGTTAATAGGTAACTATTATTGTGTACCGAGAGAGAGGACGATACTCCCAAATATGATCCCTCTCGAACCACTCATTTACCGTAGGTATAAAAAGACCACTCTGGGTAACTTACCTATCACTGCTAACGAAGATAACCTCGAAACTAGGGTCCTTCTTCCTGATCATTTGATAAGCCTCGACGAGCTGTGGAGTGAAAGCTCGACACGGAGGGCACTAAAAATTAAAAGCTACAGATTCGTTTCCATCAATGATTTACCACATACCCAGTGAGCAGAGAAGTAAAACCCCCTTATACCAGGAGGTATGTCGCTGTAGCGGATGTCTTCTTGGCAATTCTTGTGTTCTGAAGGATAGATACCACCTGGTTGAAGGACTACGTCTTTCAGAACCTAAATGTAATAAATGACATTGTTAATATTTTCTTTAATAGTATGTTCCTTTTGGTTCTAATATTGAGCCAACTGATATTGTCTTCGCTTAGCCGTTATTATAAACCAGATGATTAGTTATTTTGAATTTTTTTGGAATCATTTGTTATTCGTTCTAAAATAAGTATAACATACCATATAGAATTTGAAGTGGGATACCCAAAAAATGAGTTTGGCCAATAGTATGTACAATCAACAAGTTTCTCGTTTATTTTTTTAAGTCATGCATGACAAGTGATATGATTTTTTGTTTATACTGCCATTAAACGAATTTTTAAAAAATGAACAATTCGAGAAGCAGAACGATTAATTGTTGTAACTGTAATAGTGGACAAGACTAAGTCATACGTCAGTTGACTGTTTCATTACCCTTGAATAACTTTGGAAACGATGCCTATAACTCTTTTAAATACGAAATATATATACTAGAAGGTGGAGTTAGGCAATGAATGACTGCTCAATTAGTCAGCGCATCGATCAATTAATTCTTCTGGTTATGGTTCTGCTGGAAAAAAGAGTGACTGCAGCAGCTGAGGATAAAGTTATAATAAGAAGAGACTTACGAGAAAGAACCATTAACGCCATCATGATCCAACGAAAACTTTGTTCGAACATATCTATATAAACTGTCATAAATCGGACTGCAGAAACAAATTTTAGATGTAGACGTCCTGATAGATATCCAAAGTGGATCAGTGAACACGGAAGGAATAGTCTTAGATTCGATTTGAATCACCAAAATTAGGGTTACGGAGAACGGGATCAATCAGGACTGCGGAGGCGTAGAGAAAACTTATCAGGACGAAATAATAGTGATACATGTTTATTTATGTCAGGCGTCTGATATGATATGGAATGGCATCGAATTTTTGAAGAAAACACGCAATTTTAGAAGGAATGCCGATATGCAGACTCTACTTAGAAAACATTTTAATACCAATAAAAAATTATTGTTCTGATATTATTTTCATAGGCGTTAACGCCAGACCCAACAGAGCAAATCCAGGCAATGGATTTTGTGAAACCAATAGATGATGCAATCGGATCTACCCATGTTTGGAATGTACTCCAAAAATGAACCCTTCAGTTGCCCGTTCAACCACAGACGCATCATGAACATGGAAAAAATGGAAACAAATTTCGATGACTACAATCAATAATCTAATGAAGAAACTTGCCTAATGCTGTCAAAATAATGTACTGTCAAAAGGAGGTCCAATCCATTATTAGTTCTTTCTGCTTCTTCAAACAATCATTATTTGGTTCAACTAAAAATGGCTCCATAAATAAAAAGTTCATATCACTTGTCATTCTTAGAGTTCATAGTGAAATAAAACGCTATTGAACAAAATTGCAATGCTTTCTTTCTCACTCCGTGTAACCTCACTCCGTGTACCGCAAATATCTGTCATAGTGACAAAGGCTACTGATGGCAATAGAAGAGTTATTCTAGAATCAGTTGACCTTTAAGCACTTTACAGTAATTTTGGACAGATCCACTTTTTAGGTGTCCCACTTCAAATTTTGAGTAGTATAAATACAAAAAAAAAATACGTTTAGAAGCTTTAGAAATTTCCTTGACAATAAAGAAATCCAACCTGGACAAAGAAACTACCTACGTAACAAAACGAAAATTTTAATTTTGAGATTATAGTAAAATTTTGCAAATTCCTAAACAATATGTGGGTAAAATATCTGCTTGACTTACATCATCTACAGGACGTGGCCTCCATGGGAAGTATGTGCCTGAAGGGTCTTCTATTAGTCGTTCCTGGGCCGATATACTAATCGTAGCTCCTTCTCTGTCTAATAGAACTAGTGTAGGTACCCCCGATTTTATTCTATATCTTCTCGATAATCTCGTCTGGAAACAGGAAACAAGTTTTGAGTACTAACATATTTCAACTGTTTAAATGAAAACTTAAGGAAATAGTTTTTAGATTAATTTAATTAATTGAAAAACCCTCTATAATATAAAACAATATTTTATCGAGAAGTGAAAACAAATTCACGAGTCAATATTTGTTTTAGTCATAAATAATGAGTTTTCTATTTTTTTCTATAGCAAAAGAAAAACATTAAAAAAATCAATTACTAATTGATTAGATTTGAGGTTACTAAATGACAATGTTTGGCAATGGACTAAATAACTATTGCTTTATTCTGCTCTGCCAGTTTTAAAAAAATAAATAAATAAATAATATAACAGTTTTCAAAAGTAAGAAAGGGCAAGAATATCAGTGGTGTGAAGAAGAAGGTACTTTTAGCATTTTTTTTTTTTTTTTGAGGGGCCAAAGATGCTGAAGTCAATGGCCAGTAAATGAAAGTTATAACATATAAAAGGCAAGTATACTTTTTATAAGTCCGATGAATTCGTTCCATCAAATAATACTTCATAATGCCTTCAAACGCATCAAACTGATTACATTGCTAAATAAATTAAATGGTTACAAACCTAAAAAATCGAAAGTCATAGAACCGGATGATGAAATGAGATTTTTAAGAGATGTTCCTCTTTATGAAGGTTTCAATAATTTTAATAACTTACTTCAATAAAGATTTTGAATCACAATTTGTTGTAATAATAGGTTTGATTAAGAGTGTCGGTCCAATGAATTATACAAGTCAGAAGTGATTCAGTCATATGTCATTCATTTTAACCACGTATTCGAAAGAATAAAGACAGAAAATCGAAAACGATAAGTAAATTACCCCGGTGCCTTACTTTGCATCACATTTTCGTGCCAGCGGACCACAGAGCGTTCGAACGTTGAAGCGAAACAGCTGATTTCCCCAGTCTTTTTGAATTTTTCATTTGGTTTCAAAATCAAAGTACAGCGGATCTCAACTTTATTAACAAAGCGTTATGGACAGATGAGTGTGGTATTAACCATACCGGCCTTTTAAATAGGTAGGTACCATACTACTATTTGAAAAGCAATAAGTCATTAGGTATACGTATTACAAACTGAATAATTAATTGAACATTATACTAAACACACATGTTCAATAATAAAATATAGTGAAAACGTTAACAGTGTTAAAAATACTAAATTGTTACAACCTAATATACGAAAACAATTATTATTCTTAATAGTTGAATGATTTCCGGGCTGGTTGCCACGTCGTTGGTTTATAACACTTGACGTTTCGAGAGCATATCGCTCTCTTCTTCAGAAGTTACTCTGAAACTGATTATTACTCTTATACATTTGTTTTTAAAAACAAATAAATAATAATTGTTAAAATTTAAAATGTATAAAAATATCTTATTCATTCATGTGTCTAGGGAAAAAAATCTGTTTATTCCTTGTCGTTCACCACGCATTAAAAACGCGGTAAAACTAGGTTAATGACCGATTAATACGAAGGTCAAGATTCACCCTCGATAAACCTTTGTGGGTCAACGATCAAGAGCGGTCCAAAAAGAGGTGTATATAATGATATAAAAATATTTTTTTCTGCATGAATGTGCATTTTAAAATTTTTTTAATCACGTATTTGTATTCTACTCATTTTTCCTTGTCTTCCATTAAAATTAATGACATTATGACTGAATTACCCTGTACAGAAGACTCAGTGGCAAAAAAGGAAATATCGAGGAATTTATTCAGTGGTGGAAAAATTCTTGCAGTTTTACGTCTGTAGGTTCTGTTCCAAGAAAGGAAATGTTAATTATACGATTAATGTTCACATTTATTCAAATTAAAATAAAAATAAAAATTAAGCTCTATATGAATAAATAATAAAAAATTATTGTTAAACTATTACTTCATCTACGCTTGCAGTGAAAATGCTACTTGAACTGTTGATTTGATTGTATAAAACATACTTTAGCTTTGCTATGGCAAAAAACAATTACATTTTATTAAACTTATGGAATAATTATTGCCAGTGCCAGTTTGGGAGGTCGCAATGATAATATGACATCTAATAATGACCTAACGACAATATAGACCAGGCAAGTTAGACAATAAATTTGAAATTTTTTTCTGAAGAACCGATCGAGTTGCGGTTTTCGGCATTGTCTTTGGAAAAATATCAGGAAAAATGTCTATCTATTACATTTTGGGGCAGGATCGAAACTGCATTACGGGTGCATAAACTGCATCTTGGAGTACATCATCATTTTTCCGAATTTTCTAAAAATGGTAAAAATTGACTAAAAGTTGTAGAAATTTGTGTGCACGGGTTTTCGGGGTCGGAGATTCCGAATCTGACCTTAAAAATATGCCCGACGGCCCTGGGGCCCTCCAGAGAGGCAAGGGGGGGCCTTCTGTAAAAAATCGAATAGCTGAGTAACTGCCTTCTAAATTTCCACTCGGGGGTTTTTAGAGTCGGTGATTTCGATTCTGACACTGAAAAATATGCCCGACGCCCCTGGGGCCCCCAGGGGGCAAGGGGGAGCTTCTGTAAATCACCAAATAGCGTTATTTTTTGAAATTTTGGTCGGCCATCTTGGATCCTCCGTCTTGAATTTTGCATAATTGACCTCGGATCCGTGATCAGTGACCCCGAAAACCCCTGTAAATCAAATTTGGCGCGAATCTGTTATTTATTTGAAAATTAATTTCCTGTTAGATTTTCATACCCTTCTTCTCTGTAAATTTAAGTGTGTAAAATGAGCCCACAAGATCATGGTTGGTAAGCAGGTGGAGCAGTTTTATTGCAAAAATCTGATGAGCCTTTCGATGTTATCCAGAAAGCCCACCCCACGGGCGTCGGGCATACTTTTCAGTGTCAGAATCGGAATCGCCGACCCCGAAAACCCCCGAGTGGAAATTTAGAAGGCAATTACTCAGCTATTCGATGTTTTACAGAAGGCCCCCCCTTGCCTCCCTGGGGGGTCCCAGGGGCGTCGGGCATACTTTTCAGTGTCAGAATCGCAATCCCCTACCCCAAAAACCCCCGAGTGGAAAGTTAGAAGGCAATTACTCAGCTATTTGATATTTTACATAAGCCCCCCTTGCCTCCCTGGAGAGCCCCAGGGGCGTCGGGCATACTTTTCAGTGTCAGAATCGAAATCCCCGACCCCAAAAACCCTCGAGTGGAAATTTAGAAGGCAATTACTCAGCTATTCGATGTTTTCCAGAAGGCCCCCCCTTGGCACACTGGGGGGCCCCAGGGCCGTCGAGCATATTTTTCAGGAACAGATTCGGAATCTCCAACCCCGAAAACCCGTGCACACAAATTTCTACAACTTTTAGTCAATTTTGACCATTTTTAGAAAATTCGGAAAATTTGATGTACTCCAAGATGCACTTTATGCACCCGCAATGCAGTTTCGATCCAGCGCCAAAGTGTAATAGACAGACTTTTTTCTTGATATTTTTCCGAAGACAGTGCCGAAAACCGCAACTCGATCGGTTCATCAGAAAAAAAATTCCGTATTCTGGGTGATTTTGGTCTAACTTGCCTTGACTAAATAGTGTAGCTCATAAAATCAGTGCTAATGACAATTATTATCATACTGTCAGCGTGACAAATCAAAATATAAAAGATTTATATTTCGCAGTCGTGTTTAAAATATGTATTTTACATACTTATGAAACCCACGTTACATTAATTTGTTTGCGACATAATATCCCCAAACGGGAACAATTTTATTAAATTCGTAAAGACAATTTGATAAATTTATCAGGTCTTTCACCTCAGCAGCAATTTATTTTACAAATTCTATACATGTTTAGTATTGGCTATTAACACAATATTATATTCAACAGTAGGTTAAGATAGAAATCGGAATGTGATTTTCGTTAGTAGGCGTTGCTCAGGCTATGAATAATTTAACAGCAACCACTTAACTGTGCTTCAATAATGGTTTTAATTGTTTAATTTAATGTGATTTCTTTAGTCCCACACATCTTGTGGTATTGTACAATATGTGACTCATTATTAAAAATTTAAATTATTTTTCTACAATAAATTGGAAGAAATACTTTCCTCAGATTTTATATTGTCATTTATTTACACGAAATATAAGTACATTGTTACTCTTATAACAAAATAATATAATGGTACACAATGTAAGAAACATTGCTTTTTTAAGTATTACAAATTTTCAGTAATGGTTAATTTCAGTTGAGTAATAATCTTTGTATTCCACCGGAAAATATTAGTAGTATAAGAATAGTCACAATTATGTAGCGATCAAACAAATGCTTGATAAATATAGTAACGTTAATATAAAAGATAAATAGACAAAAACCTAGAAGCATCTGGATTATAAAAACTGCAAATAATAAAATGTTTCAAGTTTGATTTCATATTTTGTTTAGATTTGACATATGCGTTTCAGAAAATATGAGCCAACGCTCGGGGGCAGATTGCTAACCTAAAAACAAGATTATTTTTTCATATCAACATGGGCCCGATTTCGCTTCATTCTTTCATCTTTCTTTCACAAGGTGTCAAAGTTTTAAAATTAAATATGTTTTTTCCAAAAATCTAGGGAATTGGGGGAATTAAATGAAATTTGGACAACTAACTATTTACAACCGAATACACATTCGTAAGTATTATTATGCTGAACATGAATGACAGAGCCGGACTTACTTGCAAGGCCTTGGATTTAATCAAAGAAAAAATTGGTTCTCTGTTACAATTTCTAATTTATAATTACATGGGTTAAATTATATCTCAATTTTGATCAAAAATTGATTTTTAACTATTTTTTCGTTTTCCTCGAGTTTTCAGTATTTTAAATGTAATATAAACAATTATTTATTTATTTAGAATTAATTATGAATTGTGTATGTACTTATAATAAACAACTCGATAAACATAATATAACATTATATAGGAAATGTTGAAAGAGTCCAAAATTTTAATTTCCGAGCATATTTAAATTAGAAATCTCAACAG